AGTTACATTTGTTCCATGGGTCTCAGAAATAATGTAATATAAAGCAATTCTGTAAAATTCTTGCTTTGATATTATGTAGATGTATCCATGTTAGGACCATAATACGTCCAGTTATCTTTTGAACATGATGTGGCATCACAGAAACAATCAGGAACCTTACTCCTGAACTGGCTGCTTTAGAATCTGCATGCCCCCTGTGCACCAAGGTTTTACATGAGGCCTGTTCCACTTATTCCAAAATCCTTTTCCTACAAGATTTTGTGGAGCCAAAACATAATACCCACCAATGCCATGATTTTAACAGTTGAAAAGCTCCTTTGAAGATATTTATTGTCAGTCTAAATCTATGGGACAGCATGACTACATCTATTGTTATTTTACTATAGCATAAGGCACTGTTACTGCGAGTCCTGCTATGCAAACTTCCATTAAAATCACATAATTTAAGTGGGATGTAAAACTGAAGGTTTGACAACTGGAGATCATTACAGAGTCCATTGCACTTTTCTTAAGAGTGGGAGCATTTAATCTTAATGCTCTGGCCATTTCCATCTCCCTTCTCCTGTTCTTCAGTTCCTGTCAATCCGTTGGGTCATTTTGCAGTCTATTGTTAAGTGGTTGGCTGCACTTCCTTGAAAGGTAGCTTCATTTAAGAGGTGGATGAAATGATCACTATATAGCAATTCCTCAATTGGTAAAGTGCTTTGAGATCGTTCTGGCTAAATGCAAGAGATATGAAGTAACACGAAATGAAAGCTGTAATTCTGACAGGCCTTTATAGGTAGCTAGAGAGGGGTCTAATTACCATGGGACATAAGCAGCCAAGTATGTGGTAATTTTAAACTACTAAAAGATGAAAATTAGTAATGCAAAAGCTGACAGTCCCTTCACTGTTCTAGCAATGCTTAGCAATGATATAATTGTAATGGAGCTAAAAAGAGCTGCTTACATTAAGGGTCTGTCAGAATTTGTACTATGGGTATTTTCTAGTATTAATAAAATTACTGTAAAAAATTCAGTGTAGGCTGAATTACGGCTTTCAGTCTGAGAAGAAAAATAGTCTTTGCAAAATTTAATTTGTAAATACAATGGGAATTTTTATCTTGAACTGCTGATGTTCATGAATTCCGAGACTGAGTGATCGTGTGAGCACAGACAATGTAGATGTCTCTGTTTATAGCAGTCAATTACTCTTTGTCCTAAATTGCAACATTTGTGCTATTCTAGTCAGGCGAGAACTCATGAGAAACTGTAATTATGCTAAATCACATGGTTATTTTGTACCTCAAACAAATGTGTACAACTATTTACCAGTCTCCAAAATTTTAAATGTTATGAGCTGTGGATACTTAAGAGATGGCGTCCTTCTTTGTGTGCTACTGTGGCAAGTAAAAACCAGTGAGAGGTTTGAGTTAGTGCCTCTCTTTTTTTATTTTTTAAAATGCAATGGGGACACTGGTATATCTCGAGTGAAAACCCCTCAAAATTCTGGAATTTACTTCTTTTCTTGGTCTACTGACCTTCAGATCAGACCCCGAGGTACATTCTGTATCACTGGCAACATCTGAATCAGGACTAAATGTCCCTCTTATCCTGGCCAGACAATACTTTCTAGTCCAAAAAGCAATTAATTTAGGATACAGGAGGTTAGATGAGAGCATCACAATAATCTACAGAATAGGTGGTCTTTTTTAGTTTTATAATCTATGAACATACAGCAAAACCTACTACTTCCCCCAGGCTTTAGAGAAAGTAGTGGGAAAGAGCAGGGAGGTAGGGCTATAGACCATGACTTGGCAAAAAGTTTAATACCATGCTACACCACAGATGTGTTTAGTAGCCATAGTGCTCAGATTCTTAAAAATGGAGGCCATAAAAAGTACCTGAGCCAAAAAGACAAGTTAACCAAGAAGCATAAGGTATTTTTGACAGGAGAGTCCATTTGTAACCAAATCGTCCTGTTTATGCCAAAATTAGTACAACTAGGTCCTAGTCCTAGATGAAGACTTTAGACGTTGATAAGGATTGGTTACTGGTCCATTTTGTAAGATGTAGTAATGTTTTTAAAAGGCTGTGCTTTCTTTTTTCTTTAAATTCATAAAACTGGCATGGACTAGGATGAAAATACCAAAATAATTTACATTAAGCCTAGCCTTCTTTCCAGCTATGAAATACCAGTTTATTCACTTCCTGAGTCATTTTGTACTAGCTTTTTCTCTCCCATTTGTCCACAAATGTGCAAATGAACCAATGTTCTCTCCAGTGATGACAAGACACAGTTGGTTTTATCACTATATCATTTATCCATGTGCAGGTTCTCAGTTCTTAGTGAAAGGTGTGCCAGCACCTCCAGGGATAGACAAAACCTAACTATTCGAGGCAATAGATGCTGACCTGTTGGGAAACGAGAGAGTGACTCGGTAGACGATAAAGTCTAGGAAAGCAAAGAGTTTTGTATAATGTTTACTTCTGCACACATTTACACTTATAATATTTCAAACTACCTTCATTTTTTAAACTGTAAGCTTGCAGTTCATTAGCTGGTAATGTGCCCTAGTGCCTTTGTGTCCCATGAAAACAAAAATGAAAAATGATCTAATTAAGGCTGGTCTAGTGCCGGGAGCACATACAAGAGATCCGATTTTGATTATTGAGCCTAGTCTTCATAGTTCCAGGACCGGCAAGGGCCTGAAAGATTGACCTTGGGTTAGAGACATTTAGTTGATTGGAAGCAGGGATTACTAATCACTGTTACACAGTGAACTCTTCTAATCAGCATATGACATCAATTCACTCCACCAGGAGCATTCTCCAGTCCATTTAGGTGATGATGCAGGTTCTTTGTTGGGACAAGGCACAAGAGAAAGAAGAGAAATGGGAGCTCTGAGCTTCTAAGAAACATAGGCAAGGTTCTGCAGTCTTTGAAATACACTGGATTTAACACTGCATGGCCATGTCCTACATGTATACAGGACTACTTTGCCTTGGCTTTTCTTTACACGGCATTATTTTAATCTATATTTATGCTGTCCCAAAACTTTCAGTGTTCAGTTCTCTGAAGATTTTTTTACTTGACTATAAGCTCTTCTAAGGCAGTTATTCTACGTCAGGGGAAAGCTGGAAGGTTTGGCAGGTGATTTGTTACATAGGAATCTTGGCAAATTTTTCTGTGGAAAGATGAAAGAAGACAAGGAGGCAGCTATTTGGGTTCCTTTATTTGTCTCCCAAGTAAGTTTATCTTTAAAGTTGCGCTTATTTTCAGTTGTTTCTGTACAGCCTAAAATAGGAGGCCCTCTTTCAGAGCAGCATAGGAATTAAAGATGGAAAAGAACTTTACACTTAAACCCATTCAATATAAAAAGGCCTGTGCTTGCCTTTTTATCCCTTTCTTTCCTCCCTTGTTCCTTTGTGGTCCGCACTTTTTACAGCTTGCTACTACGTGATGAACACAAGGACTAACCTCTGCTTGGCTGCTATTTGTGAAAGGGTTCTTGGAAAATGATGAACTCGTCTCATAATAATGTCCTGGAGCTTTTGGAACTAGGATATAAAGTTGAATGAGAGCTGGGCAACACAACGTGGCAGAGGATCACAAGGAGGCTGGATGATAACCACCTCATTAAATGTAGAGAAGTACATGCTGCTTAGGTGTTGCCAGGTAAGTTTCGGGGGGCAATTTAGCAGTACCGGCAAAGGTGACAATAGATAGAAGCTATTGGGATTTGATTATTATCTACATCCCTGCTACAAATTCATTCTTAGGAGAATTAGCAGAGTGCATTAAATCACACCATGTGAACCAAAGCACATCACGTGATGCTTTTTTTTTTCTCATCACAAAACAAAAACGTTACTTGAAGGAAACTTCAAGGTCTTGCCAGCAAATTTCACCCTTTTTCTTTGGGCTGAGGAAAAGGAATATGGTAGAGCTAGTCTGCAAGTTAATAAAGATTGAAGCAAGAGCATGTAACCCCAAAACAGGTGAGGGAGTGATACAGAAAGTTTGGACACATTACCTTTTTTCTTCACAAATAAAGTGTGGGTTTAAGCTTGGAGTTAGGAAACTCATAAAATGAATGGGCTAGACTGGCTGCTTTGCTTCCACTTGTTTCTAACATTACTTCTAGTCTGTAATATTAAAAAAATCCAATATATGTAAGCTTATGTGATTAATATTGGAATCCATGAACAAAAATAATGTGCTTGATATTTACATGCTTTCGTGCACATTTGTTAGTAGTATTTGCCAATGTGTTTGTGAGCATAAGCCCAGAGCAAGCAGGCTTTTGTATGTATTTCTAATATAGAAAACATAATGGATAGAGGCGTGAAGTTCAACTTAGCACCACTAAATCTTAGGTGATAAGCTGATCTCAACCAAATGGAAATATAACTTCCTGTTTTAGTGCTATGCTCTATCATATATAAGGGAGATCTGTCTGGATTTACACCGTTTAACACAGTGATACAGAAGGAAAGGTGTTTGTACTTTTTGTACTTAAAATTCAGTTGCTTAAGAGACACTTTATACAAGCTTTCTAACATTTTCCCTTTACAAAGACAATAGTTCATGTTTATCAAACTGATCAGTTAGTGAAAAAGAAACATCTTTGTATTTGGTGAAATACACAGGGTTAGAGAAAACATGCAAAAAGGTGTACAGAGAGACTTAAAAAGAGTGTTAGTTCAAATAGTATGGACAAAATTCAGTCAAAAGGTGGGATGTAACATATCAGAAGTTGATTTCAAGAAAACAAAAAACCCTCCTCTTTAAATATTGTTACTGTTTTATATCAAAACTTAGAACTTAACATTCTTTCTTTTAAAAAATTAAAAATATAGATATATGTAGATAAACAACAAGCAAGAAGACAAAACACATCAAAAATGGGAATTAAAAAAAAACTCTTCAAAAGAAGACAAGAAGTCAAAAAAAGAGGGGAGAAAAAGATTTTCAGGGATCCTTGTCATGCAAATCAGTTTGGTGGCAAAAAAAATACCTTCATCTTCAGCACCGTCATTATCACCTAAATCATCTGTCTGTTTCTTTGTAAGGGGACCTAGGATTGAGAATGGAGAAAATGGAGGAAAAAAAGACAATTCAAGAATATACAAGACTGAGGAAAAAAGTCAATGTTAAATTCCCATAGATGTTTCAAGAAAAACATTTTGGGGGAAGGATGCACTCAGCTTAAAAGAATATCTATGATTTTTTTTAAACTTATAGCAAAATCTTTCCTGTAGGGTATGGCTATTAGAAACATCTATTATGAAAAGCAAATAGTGCCCAATATTTCTTTTTTTTTTAAATCAAGAATTAAAAATAGTGTTTACTAAGAGCATACCCACCACAAACAAAAGGAACCAGAAGCAATATTCCATTGCTCAGTTTACCCGTTTCTCTCAATTTAATCTGGTGATGACAAAAATACCAAATTAGCTCTAATCCTTGACAAAATAATACTGCTGATAAATACCTTGGGCAATTGGCTAAAAGATTTTTTTGTGAGTGTGTAATGCTAAATAAAATTTCTGAATCTAACTATTTTAGCTCATGCTTTGCAATAGTGAGCAAAGTTTTAGCTTTAATTTTTCTTTGTCCAACTCATTCATTACATTCTAATTTAAATACAACCATGGACTGAATATTCCCTTGAAACCTATGACTACCTGCTGAGATATAAAGAAAGAAGACCACCCAAAAGTGAACTAGAAACAAAGGGTGAAGTCCTGGCCCTACTGAACTCACTGGGATTGCTGCCACTGAATTCAGTAAATCAATGATTTCAACAAGATACTCAGAAGTAACACTTAAAGTTTCAGCACAGGTAGGGCAAGTAATATCCCACAATCAATTAATAATACTATGCAAATTAAGCTTCAATCCTATTCCATGCAGAGCACAGATATTATTAACGCATTAGGAGATTCATCACACTTTGCAATAGGAAAAAATAGCTCTTCACTGTTAGCAGGTAATAAAAATATACATCAGAAGGAAAGTCAAAGGACATACTGAAAATATTTCCATATGTCACATATTTTACACACTTAAGCATGAATAAAAGACAGTTGAAACTCAGCATTATCTTTCCTTTTTTCAGAGCTCTTTCATTTCCATGACTTTCTGTAATTTGCATGCAAAAAAGCAATCTGTATAAATGCAGGACTCTAAAGTTAAAAAGGCAGCCAAGCACAGAGTAGAAAACAAGGACTTCTCATGCATAAAATAACAATAGGGAAAAAAACCCAAGGGGAAAAAAAAAGATGAACGGTATGTGTCAATTTGTGCAGTAAATGTAGGCAAGAAGCATGCATTAACTCCAAGCACCTTGCACAATGAGGTAGTGTTAAAACATTTGTATTTAAAGAACTCTCTCCACTTCTCTCATATTACAAGATATTAGTAATTCAACATTAAACCTGCAGTCTGTGAAAGGAATACTATGTTTCTGAATGCTACTTAAGGGGAAAAAAGAAATCAGGAACTGCTGTTTGTATTGCACTAGGTGCATGTGTTTGAGAAATGTAAATAGCCCTTAGATACCAGGAGATTTTAGTTGTGAATTTTAGGAACTGGACCATGTCATTGAAAACCACAGATGAATATCTTAACTACTGCATCGGTCATGAATACGGTTTCAAGCTCATTCTAAATACAGAACACTAGAATTATACATCATAAATTAAACACGAGGACGTTACAATTACAGCTGCAAGCAATCATTCTGTTTGATACCGAATCTTGGTGAATGCAATAGCTTCTGCTATTTGGAAACTCTCACTGTAATATTTGCAAAATATGACATCTATATAATGTGATCCTACCCGAATGCAGGCAGCACCCTAACGATTTGCTGTAACCATTCTCACACTATAGCTACTGTACTTCTCAAAAGCCAAAACCACTATGTATAGCTGGGAAACTGGCAGTGATTCCTGTAATGGCATCGTGTTTTCAGCACAGCACACAGGGAAGAATGAACTCCTATTACCAATTCTAAGACAGATGCACGTAACAACCCGCCATGGTATGTTATAGTTTAAACTATGTATTCTGTTTTAAGGGCTACTTGAAAATTAAGTTTAAAAAAAAGATCCAAAGGATAATTCAGTGGCATCTGTAAAGGCATGTTTATCATGTATTTTTCTGCATAAACCAGATCAGTTCCCTCCTGGCCAGAAAACCCAGACCTTGAAAGTTCCATTTCACATAGGTGGATGTCCAGTCCTTTATTTTAAGGGATGTCTTTTATACGGTACCTTGTGCTTCATGCCATGCATCAAGCCACATAGCCCTGCATCTTAACAGCATCCACACTATAGTACAAATGTATTGTGACTGATATCTTTAAAAAGTAGCTGAGCACCTCATGTCCCTTGCTCCTTGAGACCAGATACAAACACACACAGACTGCATTAACATTTGCTGAAAGTATTAGTGGAACCATCCAAATGCTATTCAGCCTAGCATTGCTTAACCACTACTCACTTTACCCACGAGCCCTGAAATCCCAGTTTTACACAGAGGCTCTCTCTAGTTTAGAAGAAACAGATTCAAAACTTACCATTCTCCAAGCCTGGGAAATTTATCCCCAAGCACACCACTGTCCTCTTCCCCTTGGAAATGGAATATTAGCATGCCCGGACCCCACTCCACCACACAGTGAGCTGCAACTACCAAGGCAGCTAAGGCCTGCTTGAAGCAGCAAATGCCTATGCTTTGGACAGACTTTCTGTGGCTGAGCATATGAGCAGGCATAACAAATATATCGGTATCAAAAGATATGGGCGTAAGCTATTAAAGTGCAGTTTTAATGTCTGCATGATTCTCTAGTGACGCAAGCATAGCAAAATGGCTCCAGGTGTAATCCTGCTTCATTCAGTTAGGGTGATTTAGTTACCTTGTATTGCTACAAGATCATGCATATGTAACAGATTATAACAGATGACAGGCACCCCCCAGCAGCAGCTCCCCTTCCCATTTCCAGCACCTAAAAGTATGCTTGTCCATACCCTGAGGGTCTTCTTCCTAGGGTCAGTGTGCTGTCCTGATGATTGAAATCTAGGTCATGTTAACAGAATGCAGAGAGGGCCTCTGTGATCATCTGAAAACTAAGCAAAACATTACTTTTTTTTTTTTTTTT